GTTAGAGATTCCTGTTAAGTTTGAGTCTAGTCCACACATGGCTTTTACATGCTCCAGGTTTTTATTTGAAAAAAGTAGGTAGTTTCCAGCAACTTCTTAATTTTCATAAAGGACATTGTAAAAGATCTACTGATAATTTTCACCGATTCTTGGTAGAGTATTCCCAGTTCTCAGGAATGTATATTTTGTACTGTTCTTTAATTTTAAGTATTACATTTTTTAAAAAAAATTGGATTGTTATGATGATTATTGAAGTGTATGAAAACATGTTTCTTTGCTGGTAAATACAATTGAAAAATTGTTCAAACTTCAGTGTTATTAAAAGTAATAGTGAAGGATTTCTTTTTTGTATTGTACTAGTAAACATAAAAGGGAAGTCCATTGGACATGAGAATGTAATTGGTAGACTTGGGCACTCTGCCCTTCTGTTGGTTTTAGGGTGCCAACATAAGCATCCTAAAAAGCAGGTAGGTAGTATGTATTAGTACTCTCAACATCTCCATGCCCTTTCACCCATTTCTTAACATTCCTAGGAAGTACTAGTAATCAGAAATAAAGACAAAAGTTCATTTACAGAGGTGATTGTTGTGTTGCTGGTTTTATCAGCAAAAATTGAATTATAACTAAAATGCCAAATGATATAGGAATCATTGTTCTAGAGTACTTTTAATTTTACAGAAAATTATTTGAAAGGAAATCACTATGTTTTTTATATTACTACCCAAACACCAGTTGTTCAAATGCATAAAAATAAAATAAATAATATATGCCCATGATTTAAAAAAATTAGAGTACAGAAAAATATTTAATGACACCTCTTCTAATCCCTTTCTCAAAGGTAAAACCTGTTGACAACTCCTTGTATATCCCTTCAAAAATATCTACATGGCTATATCTTTTTTAAAAATCAACACGAAGATGATCAGTATTGAACACATTGTTTTCCAATGTCTTTCCTTTTAACCTCATTTATTTTAACATATCTTGTATTTATGGCAAGTAAAACATTTTTAGAGTATAGATATTTTATTAGAAAAATCTTCTCACTTATCCCAATAGAGTATGACAGATGGTTTGCAGTGGATTTTTTTCTGAGGGGCATCATAGAATCACAGCAGTGCATAAAAGTTCATTGCACAGATCTTGTTAACAAATCAGGACTTTGAAAATGAATGCCTTAGTTTATTGCTCTCTTTTCATTCCCTTCATGCAAAGCAGATGGCTATGTAGACCTGGTGCACTTACACGTTTTCAGTTCTGTCTTTATTGACGGGCCCTGCCTGCACCTGCCATCTCAGCTTATTCTACCACAGTTAATACTGGAAGATAGTTAATGCCATCATAGTTCTCTGTTTTACTGAGTGACAGCATTTGGAGCTCCGTCCTCGTATTTGAAGAATCGGATTGGTCAAATACATTTTAATAAGTTCTAATTTCATTTCTTGGCCTCATAAAGGATTATCCCAGTGAATTTGGAAGACATGACAGGAAAAAGTAACGAAATGACTTTCTCAACAGTTCTGTGATAATGGGAAATTGAAATAGGAATGGCACAAAGTGGAGATAAAACCCAGCCTGGTTTCTAAATATATACATAGGCAAGGAGGGCTACATAAAGTAATAAAATACGAACTGCAATAATCATAAAGGGTACTCTAGATTTAAAGCACGTACATGAAGTAAAACAATCAGGAAATTATTGCCCATTGTTGTAAGGGAACAGATGGTGTTTAAAATACCTTTTAATTTTATGTCATTCTTAAAATCAAACAACCAAAGAAAATATACCATCTATATTTAAAAAGTTAAATGCATATTTTTCTATTTTGGGGAGAATGCTAGAGTAGAGTTAAAGAACAAATGCAACATGAATCTGTCAGTAAAGACACATGTTGGAGGCTGTTTTGCAGGGGATGAAGTGCAGATGAAGGAAAAGATTACCGAGAAAGTGTTCCAAACCTGCTTAGCTCCTATGTGAGACTTCTCTATTACATATTTCTCCCCTAAATGGTCTAGTGAGTGACTTGATATTGAACGTTTAAATTCTGAAATGTCTAGGTTATGCCTCTAAAACTGCATCCATTTCAGTACATGGCCATAATTTTTAGAAAATGTGATTTAATGCTTTAGTATTTCACATTTGATTAGAGAGAATGTTAGGTTTTTCTGAATTTTGTGCTGTGTAAACTGGCCTTCAGAATTAATGCTGAATCCTAATCCCTAAAATGTTTAGTTTGAGTAAGCCTGACCAAGACTTCTTAATAGATAAACTTTTGTTCTCAGATTTGTACATAGGTTTATGCTGCAGCAGTAGATCTTAAAGGTGTTTCTGTTGTGTAGGCTCCTTATCAAGTCATGGAGCTTTTCCCGCCTAATCAGTATATAGATGTGTGCTGGTGTTACTGAGAGGGAAGGAGTCTGCGGCAGAGCTTCAGCAGTCTGATTGATTCAGCCATTCAGGACTGAGTTTAAAATGTTGGTGCTGAGCACAAATTCCTGTTCAGTTCCTATTGCCACATTGCTTTTTGTGTTCACATTGGTGATCCTGCCAGTCAGAGCAGCCTGTGTGACAATGAAGAGAAAGAACTGGAGGTTCAGATCCGTATTTCAGAGTATCTACTCTTTGAGTTGTGCAATGGAGATCTGAAGACCATATTTCAGATCTGGTATGATGCAATTATCAAGGAAATTGGGATGATGTAATTCGCTGTGTTTTCAAAGAAACATTTCCAGGTGGGGAAATTTACAGGCCTAGAATTTCAATGGTTGTATGTAGAGTTTTGCTTTATTGGATTGATATAATGATATAATTAGTTTGTGTTGATTTCATTTTAAGAGAGCCTCCCCCCCCCCCCCCAATTTATCTTCTTCATTTACTATCTGGAACGAATTGACATGATAGCAGATTGAATCACATGTATTTTCTTGGTCTTTATAATTATTAAACTTTGAAGGAAATGTATGGAAAACGCCATAGGATAAAGGAAAACAGACACCACTATGAAAGAAATTGTCTTCAGTGGATGTCTTGTGTCCTGCTCCCACCTTTCTGTTTCCTCAATCACTTAGTAAATCTGCCCCTCAGTGGGTAGATTAGTGGTTCTCGACCTTTGTCTTCAGTGAGTTCATCTCTGAAGCAGGAGGCCAGGATCTACTAATCAGTGCTTACCAAATTTTCCGACTATCTTTTAGTTTAATTCAACTTCTATTAATTGCCCGCTGTCCAGTGGCCTGTGATTAGGCTTTGGGTGAGGCCCTTGTCTTGTGTTCTAGTTATTCCAAATACTGTGGGACCATAGAGAGCCTATTTGATGAGATCTTAGACCCACTTTCCTAAGTCAGGCTTTCTGTCATACTTATTTTTTAAAAATTGGAATATTATCAAACATATAGTCAGGCTTACTCAAACTAAACATTTTAGGGCTTAGGATTCAGCATTAATTCTTATTATATGTTATTATTTTTGAATATTTTCTTATGCCACTTCACAGCCCTCAAAAACACTATTTGAAATTGCTGAATATTTCATCCTAAGAATGAATCCCAATTTAACTAATCTATTGTTATGAAGGTTGTTTACAAATTTCAGTATTATCAATTACACTACAGTAAAGAGCTTTATGCATAAATTACTGTCCAACTTTCTTTTTTTTTTAAGGGATCATATGTTAGAAGGCTAATTATTGAGTCAAATAGTATTTGGAGACAAGTCAGATTGTTTCCAGTATTTCTACTCACGTAAGTAACATGAAAATGATGTCTGATAACATTGAGACTGTTATGAAAAGAATTCTTTATTAAATAAAAAGGTTTAATCTTGTTTTTTAAATCGCTAGGATATTTGAACAATTATAATAGCCTATATTTTTCTATTCATATTTTAGTATTTTAAAATATTTTATTATGAATTAAGGATATGGACTTCGGCTCTATTTTCCACAAATATCATTCCCAGTTTGTTTGCTTTTCCATTGTATTGGAGGTTTTTTTGTTTGTTTGTTTGTTTGTGGTTGTTTTTTCACACAGAAATCAGTGTTTGCTTATGGCCCTAGGATTGAGCCCCTCTTTCTCTTTCTTTTTAGATGCCACTTGTTTACCCACCTGGGCTTTCTTTCCTCTGTGCATGACTGTGGAACATGCATAGCCTTCCCAGTTCCCACTCTGTTCCTGCAGCAAGTTACAGATGTCCTGTTTGTCTTAAGACTTATACTGCTAGAAACTGCAGGGAAGTGGGATTGAGAGTCATCTTTTGTGGGAGGTGCAGAGGTTCCAGGCGGGAGTATGTCCTGTCTGTTTCATAATGTCACAGGTCATCTTTCTCCTGGTTCCTTTGTTCATGCAGTTGGGTAAGGAGGTCTTTGCTATTTCCAGGCTCTCAACCTACAGTTTCAGCCCACTTCTTATCCTTTCATGCTTTTGCTTGGCTGGACTGCTCTCTGTTCCCTGACGGGTGCGATTCAGTGGTTGGAGCATTGGTCTTGGGTTTGATTCCTGGTCAAGGGCATATACCTGGGTTGCAAGTTTGATTCCTTGACCCGATTGGGGTCCATGTGGGAGGCAACCAATTGATGTGTTTCTCTCACATCAATGTTTCTCTCTCTCCCCCTCCCCCAGCTCCCTTCCTCCCTTTTCACTCTCTCTAAAAAATCAATGGAAAAAATATCCTTTGTTGAGGATTAACAAAAAACAGTCTGATAAAGCTTGTAGAAAATATATCTACTCGTATGTATTCCATGAAACCTTTCTTGGAGCTGGGTATCTTACTTGGGAAGCTATAATCTATTAATTGTGTCTGCCGTCTCTGTCCTCTGGGCCTGCCTCTTTTTTGTTTTGTTAATCCTCACCCAAGGATATTTTTCCATTGATTTTTTCTATTAAAAAAATATATATTATATTTGAAGATTTTTTTTAAAAAAATTATTTTATGTACAAAGAGATAGCATTCTGTCATAAGGTAGATGTCTTGAACTACCCATTTATGGAAGTTCACTTAGTCCAACTTAATGAAACCTTTTGTGCTTCGTGTACTGACGGAAATACTGGCGGCACATGTTGAGGCCGTACTTCCAGGTCAGATCGTGGCGGTTTGAGCAGACATGGCAAGAACGAGAACCCTGGCCGAATTTCCTTGGATGGCTCCAGTAGAGTTGCTGGTGACCCATCTTGCTCACTCTGTAGCAATGAGGCCCCCCAAAAAGAGGCTAAATATATATATATATATATATATATATTTTTTTTTTATTAATGTCAGAGAGAAAGGGTGGGGGGAGATATCAATTATGAGAGAGAATCATTCATCGGCTGCTTCCTGCCCTGACCGGGAATCCAACCACAACCTCCTGGTTTATAGGTCAATCCTCAATCACTGAGCCATACCAGGCTGGGCTTTCCATTGGTTTTTTAGAGAGAGTGGAAGGGAGGGGGAGAGACAGAGATAGAGAGAGAGCCATTGATGTGAGACACATTGATTGGTTGCCTCCTATAGGAGCCCCTCAGCTTGCAACTGCAGTAGGTGCCTTTGACCAGAATTGAACCTGGAACTCCTCAGTCCATGGGCTGATGCTCTATCCACTGAGCCAAACAAGCTAGGGCTGGACCTGTCTCTTTTGAAAGGATGATTTCTTTGTACTCATTTTCACAGAGCAAGACAAGCCATCATGATAACCCAAGGGATCACGAGAAAGTGTTTCTTTGCCTGCCATTCCTGGAGGCTGTGACCGTGAAACCAAGTGTCTTGAGTTGAACTGAACTGGGAAGGCAAAGAATGAGGCAACTACAGTCTTGGGGAAAATAGAAGGGCACAGAGGGAAATGGGTATTCAATAGAAGGTCAAGACACAACTATAGGCTAAATATTCATTCACTCATAAGCCATACATTTAACAGAGGATGATGGATTCTTTGGGACTGGCAGTTTGCAAGGTGGGGAAACTTATTAAAGATCACTTCCAATCTTTGGATCTGTGGCTTTACAAATCATGTGTGTGGAGATGTGCAGACAGTAGAGTGCATGCTTCAGTAAATTTAGCAGCAAGTAGCCTGATGACAGCTTGAGTGTTTGTGACTATGCTGCTCATTAATAAACCTTCAGAGGAAATTTATAGCTCAGTGAAAGGAGGACAAAGCCAGCCCATTTTATGCCATTTGTATGATATGGTTTAAGCCTACAGCAGAACTGATCACTGGAGTTGTATGGATTACTGAACAAAGATGAGCAAGGTTGAACTTCAAGGAAATGTGCTGTTTATAGAGTTGTTTGTATTTTCAGTTGGGGATTTTAACTGTATAAAATAAAAGAGTCATATAATGTGGAAAGATCAATGGGATGCTAAGTGGTGAGAGTGTCATTCTGAGGGTTACTAGCTATTTTTATGAGCATTGGATAGTTCTTTAATGTAAGGTAAATTTATTTATTTATTTATTTTTTAAAATATATTTTATTAATTTTTTACAGAGAGGAAGGGAGAGGGATAGAGAGTTAGAAACATCGATGAGAGAGAAACATCAATCAGCTGCCTCCTGCACATTCCCTACTGGGGATGTGCCCGCAACCAAGGCACATGCCCTTGACCAGAATCGAACCTGGGACCCTTGAGTCCATAGGCCGACGCTCTATCCACTGAGCCAAACCAGTCAGGGCGGTAAATTTTTTTAAATAGTTAAAAACATATGAATACTCAGATAATGTTTTTCATGAATATATGATGCGCATCTTCTCTCTGTATAGATCCAGCTTTTGGTTTTTAAAGATTGCTTTTTTAGTCACTAAAAAGAATTGAGTCCACAACTGGAGATTTAAGTTTAAAAATCACATTGCTTCTAAATGTTAGTGTGACAAAAATAAAACTGTACTGCACAGTATTTGTTTATTTACACTTATATATTTTATGGAAACATGTCAATTTATGATATAGATCAATAATTCTAGAAATTATTCTTGTGGGCAATTTCAAGCAAGGATATTTATAACATCCCTTCCCTTGTTTCAGATGTGAACATATGGTTACCAGCAGTAGAGGATTGATGGGATAAAATTGTAGAACATCTCTACTGTACAGCTGTTAAAAACAATGGGGTCAATCCATATGAACTGATGTGACAACATCTCTAAAATAAATGAAGTAAAAATAAAAAAAAGCTAATTAAGGAATGCCATGTACAGTGTGAAGCTGTGATTAAAAAAATCTTAAAAAATATGTAAACAGAAAAAGAAATGAAAGGATACCTACTTAATTATGGTGGCCTGTGGTCAGTGGAATGAATTTGAGGCGTAAAAAGCTGGGACCCTCATCTTGTATATATTTTACTTCTGTGTTGTTGGAATTCTTTTTTACAAGATTGTTTTCTTATATTGTGCTATTTGAAAAATATTCAATGAAATTATTTTTATAGTTCTTAAAAGTATATTTATATAGAGAGCTCTAAACTAATGTTTAAGTGTGTCTTATAAGCACATGGTAGAGATATCTGTAATCCGTGTACCTCCAGATATTTAGCTTATAACCAGAATTTCACTGTGGGTGAGGAGGATAGTAAATGTGTCTGTACATGCTCATAGTACTTTTAAAGCATTTAAACTTTATTCGAGACTTACTAATTGATCTTTAAGTAAGGTAACATTTCTCAAAAAGCATCATTGACTCATATTATTTAAATAATTGTTGAAAAAAAGTTTGCTTAGAAACTATTTTCAGATAGAATATAATGTTCTGTATGTATTGTAGTAAAAAAAGTCTGAAATTGCATATTAGCTTTTGCTAAAACATGTAGTATATATGTGTGTATCATTCCCACATAATCAAAAGTCACTAAATTGTATTGCAGACTATGGTGCTTAAATATTAATGTATTTCATTACTTTTGTTCTCAAATTAAATATTTATGGACAATGTGTATTTTTCACCAGCAGAGGGCGGTGGCTCCTTACATTTTTTTCAAAGTCCTTTAGGAGTGGGTTTTCCTTATAGCATTTGACCTAATTTGACATTTGAGTCGGAGATATTTGCTGACTCTAAATTTGTAATTGATATTTTTATATAGAAGAAAATATGATAAAACGAGTGTAACTGAATGCAATAAGAAATATTTATACTATTGTTTATATTCCTTCTAGGTTGATTAAAATAAGTGCTCATTTTATGTATAGGAAGTATGTGCATTTAGCCTAAAATGTAATCAAATTCAAGTGTTTCTTTTCTTTTGTGAAATGAGGTTATAATTTGCCCAAACCTATTGCCAACTGTGTGTGGTCTCTGCATGTTGTATAGTATAGTGTATAGTGTATAGTGTAGTTGCTGTGCAAAGGGGAAGCATTTAATGCACATACAAACACACAGCACAAATATAAAATAAATTTTTTTGTGAAAACTTACAAGCTGACAAGTAGCAATATCTTTGGTAATTAATGTAGATTAGTTGAATGGCATGCAATAAATTTGCCTCTTCTTTCTCTCATGAGGTGCTGACATTTATTAAACTTTGAAAAGCAATTTGGGGTCCACATTTTCTCAAACTGTGCCATGGCAGTGACCTACAGTGCAGTGCATTCCTGCGTTTATCTTGCTTCCCAGATCTGTCCCAGGAACTAGTTAAAAACCAACTTAATTATGCTCCTTGTTCTGTGGTTACACCTTTGGGAGGTGCAGATCCAGTACCCTGTCAAACGGCAGCTATCATTTAAACACATGCAACCATGCCATGTTACCTGTCCTTCAGAATAAACTGTGGAGGTACCCACGGTGGGGATGCATTCTTATCATCTGGGTTCTGAGGGGTGTCAAGTAGGTGAAAATACTTATCCTTTGGAATTCATTGGAGCTGTGTCCAGAAGATCCTAAAGGACTGTAGTTCTGAGATAAATTTTTTCCCCAAGTCTTTAGAGACAGAAACTGTACTTCTGGGAGAAAGGTTCAAGCCATGAGAACCCTTTTCTAAAGTATCCCTTAGTTTTTGTGTACTGAGCCCTTTTTAAAAATATATATATTTCTATTGATTTCAGAAAGGAAGGGAGAGAGAGACAGAAACATCAGTGATGAAAGAGAATCATTGATCAACTGTCTCCTGCACACCCCACACTGGGGACCAAGCCTGCAACACGGGCATGTGACCTTAACCGGAATTGAACCTGGGACCCTCTAGTCCGCAGGCCAACGCTGTATCCACTGAGCCAAATCAGCTAGGGCTGAGCCCTTTCTTTTTAAAATAAAGCAAGAACATGAAACATTTTGAAAATGCAGAATCCTACTTGAGAGTATTTGTAAGTAAAAGATTGTAATTCTTTAAGTTGCTGGATATGTACATGCACAGTAGAAGTATTTGATCTTAGTCCAGTTCTAACTCTGTGATTGTGGAAGGATGTCCTTGATTTTGTGGCTGTGGCTAAGAGAGCTGTACAGGTGCATACATATGCAGGTGGATTGGGGCAGAGAGCTGTAAAGATCATCACTTGCCCTCTCTAATATGGGCCCAAGAGGCTGGAGAATGCAACATGTTCCTTTACTCCTACAGATCATTAATCTGGATGTGTTATGACGGACTGATTTAGCACTTCAGTGGCATTGGTGTGTATTGAGGATAGAAATTTAATTTTATAACTCAACCTCTTTAGCAGTGGCTGTGAAAAATCACCAGAGATGTAGATAGATCTTTGCTATTGTCTGATGTTTCAAAGATACCTTCTATTTTTTAAAAAAAATATTTATTTATATTTTATATATTGATTTTTTAAAAAAATATATTGATTTTTTACAGAGAGGAAGGGAGAGAGATAGAGAGTCAGAAACATCGATGAGAGAGAAACATCGATCAGCTGCCTCCTGCACACTCCCTACTGGGGATGTGCCCGCAACCCAGGTACATGCCCTTGACCGGAATCGAACCTGGGACCTTTCAGTCCGCAAGCCGACGCTCTATCCACTGAGCCAAACCGGTTTCAGCTATATATTGATTTTTGAGAGAGAGAGAGAGGATAGAGAGAGAGATTTGTTGTATCCCTTATTTATTCATTTATTGGTTGATTCCTGTATGTACCCTGACCGGGGATTGAACCTACAATCTTGGCATATTGGGATGATGTGCTAACCAACTGGCCTATCGGGCCAGGGCAAAGATTTCTTCTATTCCTGTTTCTAAAGTGATAGAATCCTTTTTATTAAAAAACAACAATAGTCGGGTAGC